CCATGAAGAAGCGGGCTCAACAAGAGCGTGAGAATGCTGCCAAATATACATCTTTGGGGAAAGTGCAGTATTTCATCGAGAGGGAAAAAGAGATGGAAATTTCTAGATACTATGGCTATGTAAAATAAGAGCTTCTAAGACTGTTTGTGCCACTTTGGGTACCAGCTGGTTTTCCACATATATATAGATGGACACAACATAGATGTAGATAGATAGATAGGAATATAGATAGATAGGAACATAGACAGATACAAATANCTGCCACTGCATCCTTGACAGGTCCTGCCAGGCCAGCTCAGCCAATTCCAATCAACACAACTCAACCAGGTTTGACCAACGCTAGGTTGCCCAGTGTCCCTCAGACGGCTGCTTCTGGGCCCGCACCCTACAAAACATCATCCTGCACTTCTCTCCAGCAGGGGCCCGTTTCCACGGCTGTGACCAAGCTCCAGTCACCACCCAAGCCTCAAACCCAATATCCACTCCAAGACTTGCNAATGCGTCCTTGCTTGTGTATTTCATGAGGAAGAGCTCCACTCTCTCTCCTAGTCCATGACATGAAGTGTTCTTGTTCTCTCAGAAGAATGCCTAGAATAGAAAGGACCCTACATGAGAATTCTAGGCTTTATAGAACATTTCATAGTTCAAAAATCACGTTCACTTTTTGGTAACTTACAACAACCCTATGAAATACAAAGAAAATCAAGAAACAATGACATCCAATGATCACCAGTAAAGTATTCCAGTCACTGACTATCTTTTAACACAGGGTCCTGTCCATGGTCCTTAAGAAGAGCTAGTGGAAATGCCTTGCCCACTGTTGGAAGGTGCCTGATTGCTGTGTTTGTATATAGGGGGAATATCTCACTTACCCAGGACTGACTTTTTCCTTGATTCCTTGTAGTGATGGAAACTTCCCTGGGGATGGAGACATCCCTGGGATTGCAACCTCCAAGCCAGGAACAAGCAGAGAATAAGAATTTGGAAGAGATGAAACCCAAGCTTTTGAAGCCACTGGATGCCTACCAGATCCCAATAGAAAACGAAGATCTTCCACTACTCCCTTTAGCAATCCCCGATATTCGCCAGATTCTGGCCTGCATTGATCCTCCTGGTCAAAAGGAACACCCTGGTCCTGACAATGCCAATGTGGGGAAGAAAAGCCTGAGTCTTGAGGACCAAGGGACACTTGAAAATGGGATTGAGTCCAGTAGTGGTTTTACAGACACCACTAAACTGGTGGAAGATATCCACCTTCTCCAGCAATTGAATTCCATGAAATATCTTGACCAATCCAAAGATCTCACAGCCATCAAAGCCAAAGACACCGAAGCCATCATGATGAATCAGGTGCAGGACAAGCCGTGTGTCATAAAATGTCCCTCCAATCAGGTCAGGAAGAATAGGCGTAATGCCTCTGAGCCTATCAGTGGTGCTCCCAGAGCCAAAAGCCAGCCACAGAACCCAGAGTGCCTGTTAGCGGGAGAAGTGGTTGTTTGCAGTGCTGCAGTCAGTGACGGGGCTCCTGTGAATGTGGCCAAGCATCCTAACAGTGAACCTCAGAAAGCTGCCTCCAGAAGGACCTGCAAAACTGAGAGCCACGGGCAGGAAAAAAAGAGGAGAAGCCGAGAAAATCCCTCCAAGAAAGCTGGTGAGAGTAAGCAGCCAGGGAACAAAGTCCAGGCAGAGGAGAAGCCAACTATTCCCAGGAAGAACAGGAAGAAAAATCAACCTGACCTTAGCCAAGAGGTCTTTAAAAAGCCTCGAAGCAGCCTAGGCATGCACATGCTGGAGTCTGTGCAGGTTTTTCATGCACTGGGGAAGAAGATTGACAAGAAAGCTGGGCTCTCTTCCTCTCGGGCCCTAGGAAACTCTAGCAACACTAGACAACTCCAGCCAGACCGAGCTATCACACGACAGCAGGATACTCCGTGTAAGGGCAAAAGTCCTGAGAAAACTCAAGTCAAAGCCCAGAAACGAGATGGCAGTGCTGNGATGAATCAGGTGCAGGACAAGCCGAGTGTCATAAAAGGTCCCTCCAATCAGGTCAGGAAGAATAGGCGTAAAGCCTCTGAGCCGATCAGTGGTGCTCCCAGAGCCAAAAGCCAGCCACAGAACCCAGAGTGCCTGTTAGGGGGAGAAGTGGTTGTTTGCAGTGCTGCAGCCAGTGACGGGGCTCCTGTGAATGTGGCCACGCATC